CCTGGATCAAGTATCATTTAACAATTTACTAAGAAGTTTTAAAGAGTACTGCAAAGTCACATCACTTGAACATAGCAAAAATATTTAATTAATTTTAATACGTGAAATTAAAGAAAAAAAGTTTTTATGAAAGAGGCCAGAAAAACCCGGCTGTTGTCATTTGTTTACCAGTCTGTTAGAGAGATATCTTTGTGATATTTTTAGATATTATGAACAGTTGTTTTGTGCTGTCACTCATTTTCTGCAACGGATTTAGGGCCACAAATAACAGCGCATTCTGCACTAATTTTCCTGCTTCTAGAAAACTCACCAGCTATAATATCATGGTATTATCCAAACTTTATGATTTCTACTGGTAAACACAGTGATTATATCGTGGCTTCATAAACTAGCCTTCCATATCACAACCTACCAGAGCACCGAAGAGGAAGCACACTCTATTTTCACAGTTACCTGTAAGTTAGGCATTTCATATATTGTCTAGGTTATTCAGAGCAATGTATCAGTGAAGGAGTTGATTTTCGTAAGTAGCCACGAATATGAGTTTTGTTTAACATTACATACCATGGCCGAAACCATAGTCTGCTAGAAGGAAGTCTTAAGTTTTTCTTGATGATCTTGTTGCTTTGGGTATGTTTTATAAGGAAATTATGTTTTGTGATTTGTTTTGTTGAGTGCTGACCACATCTCTGAATTTAAGGATGATTCGTTATTGCACGTCCATATGTCCCCGGCTTTTCTCTTTGCTGGGATTATTGAAATAATTGATCAGTTTGTGAGTGTTACGCATGCTTCGACTGCGGCAAGACTCCGTGCATTCAGCAAATCATTCTTTTGCAAGTTACTTACGATTTCATCCCAGTGCTCTCTGGACGATATCACGTTGCTATGCAGTCCTTTACGAAAAGAACGAATTATTTGCCGAGTGTCCTGTGATATAGCTTTCCACAGTTTTTATTTTGACATTTTTCCCCATTGTGCTAAGTTCATATGGAAATCGGGCTACTAACACAAACTATCGCTCTCTAAGACTATACTCAGCCAATTACATGGTTAATAACTCATCTATTTGAACAAATTGAACAAATCACAGACAATATTATTAGCATATGATTTCATCACCAACGACAACCCCGACGGATCACTTTCTGAATTCCACATGTCAAGATTATAGATATTGATGGCAGGCAGTTCAGGAATTTTGTACGCGGTCAATTACTCTA